TGACTATTAAGTACAATGGTTAGGGGCCATTAGGGGCCAACTTAACTACCTCAAACTTTTCCAGGTCTGTAGCATTATCACTACTACTTAGCATTAAAAAAATTGCCCTTGGTACTCATGCATCCAAGATAATGGAATCACTTGTAACAAAGAGATCTAGGAATAAAGTTTTGTCCATTAAATCTCTTTTCATTTCGAAATGTTTGAGAGCTCAAAAGTAAGAACTAAATTTTGTCACCTAACTTTTGAACATGCTTTTTTCCCTTTGTAAATAAATCCAGGAAAATGTTTGATTAGTGTTTTAGGAAGGAAATCTGGACCATCTATTACCCATCCTTGAATGATGATGAAACCCAACTTTGGAGGTTTCTGATATCAAAACTAGAGACATATCCAATTCACCAGCAGGTTCATCTCAGGAGGCAGCAAAACTGTCCTTGTTTTAAAGAAGGAATTAATTTAAACCAGTATTTCTAGATTGAAAACCTTAATGGAAAAAAGTATGCACCTTGTAGAATATAGCTGTTTCTAACATGCATTTCCTCCTAACTGTTTCTTAGTCTTCCCATTTTCACTGTTCTTAAGGTCAGAAAGAACCAAATAAACAATAACTGATAGGGAGAGTGATCAATTTTTTCAGCATTACATTTTCTTCCCCATTAGATCATTTGTCATAATAGACCATAAGCTACCATGTCTGGAGTACATAATTCTGTCTGATAATTAAATTAACACTGATCTAAACCTAAAATTGAAGAAGAAGAATGAATGATAGAAAACAAAATAGATCCTTGTATTTTTAAGACAGTTTCCATAAAGTTAAAATGCTTCTAACACTAGAAGAACCACTGCAGATGGCGTGTAAGTATTGCAGAAAACAATTAGTTATCATTTTTAAATGCAAACTCATCTAAGATACAGCTTGAGGGGAGCAGAATCGGTTAAATTTTTCTTGGTTCATATATATTTTTTGTATACAAGAATATGCATTTTGTTTAGATTTACCCAAATTCATGGACATCTTGTGGGAGAACAAGGGGAAGAAATGACGAATCCCACATATTTACATAAACACTGAAGATGGCATTTAATTTTGTTGTATTATGTACAATGNTGAACCACAGACCTGGCATTTAGCAACAGCAGCCTGAGACCAGGGCCCTGACAGCTCTCGCCATCTGGTCCTGGAGTGGAGCTAACAGGGACGGAAGGAGGAATCTCTGTGACGTAGCAAACCTTCCTTCCCCGGTAATGGCTAGCCATGTAGCTCCTGTCAAACCTGCCTCTCCCAACGATGACCGGAATGCACCGGCCCATCCCCGCAGTCATAGACCCCATTTCCCCTCCCGTAGCCTCTGTTCTACCCAGCAGGCCATTCATATCAATCATTCTAGGATGAGAGGTAGGCCTGGGCCCCCTACCACTTCTGCTTCAGCACTCAGCGGAGGAGGCACTAGGCTGCACTCATACAAAATACACAAATACAAAAATACAGTAGATAATTAAAATTAAGTGGGCACAAGCATCCACAACCATACCATACACACCTCATCCATAGAATTGCACAGAACTTAAGCCCAATCAGTGGGTTTGTGCAAATATGGGGGTGAGGATCCAGAGTCAAAGATGGATGGGATAGCTGCAGATGGGAGAGCATAAGTGCCAGATTAAGATAGGAGGCAGTCCGAAGCCTCGCCCCCCCCATTTCTCACTGTTAGTCCAAAGGGGCACAGTCCCGAGAGGGCGTAGACGAAACAGAGCGGCGTTAAGAACAATGGTAAGGGGGGGGGAAAGGGTCCAAAAGTCCAAAGTTCAAAAGTGACTGGAGTGGTGGCTGACCTGGCCTGTGGTGCGGTTGTAAAAAGTCTTCTTGTGGGTCAGCAAATGGTGGATAATGAGTAGCAAGAGGGGGGAGGTCTGGGAAGGCTGGGAAGGCTGTTGCAGCAGCAGCAGCAGCAGCACAGGCCAACCGCCCAATCCTAGTAGACATGGTCCAATAGTTAAGCCACTCACCGCTCCTCCTCATGGCCCCAATACAGCACATTAACTCCAAAGTTTGACAAACCAAGTATGGGGTCCAGTGTCAAGGTCGGGATTCGCACGCCGCCCTAGCTGCACACTGCCCTAGCGTCGTCGCTGCCGCTGCCACCAATCTCACAATGATACCATCCACATCATCACAAGCCAGCATGGAGATGGAAAAAGTTTCCGGGGCGTTTGTTGCCTGGGGCCGCCTAAGCTATCGCCCAAACACTGCCCAGGTCTGCTTGATGGATGGTCTTACGTAGGGGACTCCTCCCTTCAGAGTCTAGGAACTAGGAGGCTAGGAGCTTGCTGTCCCAGTGCCATCGCTGCCGCCACCGCCAAATTCAAAACATCGATCTCAGCGCACCGCTGTCTTTGCCGCAAGCCAGCATGGAGATGGAAGAGTTTCCGGAGCGTTCAAAGCATCTAGGGGCCGCCGCCGCCAAATTCAAAATGCTGATCTCAGAGCGCCGCTGTCTTTGCCGCAAGCCAGCATGGAGATGGAAGAGTTTCCGGAGCGTTCAAAGCATCTAGGGGCCGCTTGAGCGACTCCCCTTTCAACCAAATGCTCCCCCGGCCTGGCCGATGGATAGCCTCAACGGGGGACTTCTCCCTTCGAAGGTCTAGGAACTCTGTCCTTCACAATTCTGTTC